CTCAGCAACCGATAAAAAAGTGAAAATTTTTTTTTTTTTTGGAAAATGCTACTATTTGACTGATATATACGTTTGTCGGTTTGCTGAAAAAAATATTACTAAAATATACAGTTTAATTACAAATTTTTCTACCTTTTTTCTTTTTTCCCCTCATAATTATTGACTTTTTAAAAGTTAAAAACCTCCAAATAGGCTACCAAAATTTTTTTCAGGCTCAGTCTTTGATCCTAAACAACAAAAAAAAAAACGATAAACCGCGGAAAACTATTACGGAACTCGCAAAATTCAGAATAGCAAATAGTGACAGATTTTAACTATATCAAATTCTGCTTTTTTTTTCCTCTCCCCCCCCCCTCTCCCCAATGTTTAAATAAAACTCCGCTGTTTATTGACGTATCAAACAAACGAGTTTTTTTTTTTTAAAAAAATTGGAATAAAACTTTTTTGTTTTTAACCGAAAAAAAAAATTTCTTTTTTCTTTTCAGTTGATGTTTTTATTTATTAAAAAAAAAAAAAAAAAATATGAGAAAAAGTTTTGTAGTTTCTCATAGATTTCTTTATACCAAATAAATGTTTAATATTTTGGCAGCAAATATTCCTTAGAAAAATTGTCAACCTCATATGCCATAAGACAATAATTTGCAGTTATTCTTTCTCATATGTTATACTTTTTTTTTTTTGTTTTGTTTTCTAAAAGAATTTATGAAAACTAAAATTAAATTCAAAAAAAAAGGGGAAAAAGTGTAAGTTAATGCTATAAAATTGACAATTAAAAAAATGTTTTATTTTTTTTTCTCGGCAAAAATGATTCGTTTTTCTTCAAAAAGATTCCATTACTTTTTTTTTACCCCTCTCCCCCCCCTAAAAAGAAGTAATATAATTAAAAAAAAACAACAAATATCATCTAAAGTAAGTGCAAAACAAAAAATGAATGTTGGAAGTAAAATTTTTTTTATAACTAAAATTAATTGAATATATCAACAATTAAATAAAGTGTACATATTTTCATTGATTTATTCACTTTTTTCTTTCGGTATATATTTATATGTTTAATTTTAAATAATTTATTTATATTTAAATTCATTCCCCCCTCCTCAATAATCTTAGTTTCCGCTTTGTAGCATAACAGAAGGCAGTTTTTTTTCCCCTTCAAAGCAATACTGCAGATGTCTATCTTTTGATTATATACAACAGTCTTTCCCTTTCTCTTAAATGATTTCAGGAGGAAAAAAAAACCTTTTTAAGAAAATAAACTATTTAATACAACAATAAGTTTTTTTTAATGCAAAATT